GTCTGGTACCAGTTCTCGGCTGCTGTACTCCTACTCAGTGTGACTTGCTGTTTCGGCATTCGGAATCCAAGACTTCGACTTTGTGACTTGCCACTGTGTCTGCGTCCGATCCTCAGTCCGAGTCAGTCGTGTCGAGTGAGTGAGTGTGTGTGTGTGCTCTCACTCTCTCCCTCTCTCTCCTCTCCCTCGGCTCACCCTCAGCCTCACGCCCGTTACACCCCCCCCAAAACAAAAAAAAACTACCCCACATAGAAACTATAGGTATATTCAAATGCTTGAACACAGAAAACTCTGACAGGGACAGACCATAAAGACACAGTACAGTCAACGAGGGTTCAGGGTTTTAGCCCCAAAATAGGTTAAGAACAGAAACGTAGAAGAACAGGCTAACTTAGGCAGGGGTGAAGGAGGGTACATCCCTCTTTCATGAGGTAATCAATGCCGTCCTTCGGGCATCCACACCATGAGGGAGAGGTGCGTGAGTGAGTATATATTGTAATCCTTTCTGACTTGCCGGTGGAATAGGAACCGGACGGATGCCCCCCAGAATGGAAAAGACGCCGGAACCCTAAGGTTCTGTCTTTTTGAAAAACTAAAAAACAAAGAACAAAAAACAAAGAACAAAAAACAAAAAACAGAAAACAAAAAAGAATCCTTCTTGCCAGCACCTGACAAAGTTCCCCCATCCCCCCCCCCCATTTTCCCCCTTCCACCTCAAACCTAACCACCTACTTCTTTGTTGTTGGTGAGTTGCTTCTCGCATCGACACGTGACCACAAATTGTTTTTTTTTCATTCTGTTTTTTCTTTTTTTTGTGTGTTTTTCTTTGGCCTGCAGATACTCACAGGCGCAGCTTATAGAAGTGAATGCCCACAGCCTTTTCAGTAAATGGTTCTCTGAGAGCGGCAAGCTGGTGCGTTACCCTCCTCACCGAGTTCTTGGTACCTTTGGAATGACCTCACAAATCCACACTGCTTCCCACAACATCACAAAAGTCCAAACTTCCACACGCAAGGCTTCACACTTGAGGTTGAAAACTTGAAGTCTTACACAGCAAAGTTTCATGCATGTACACCAGCGACTATGACCACCCTTAACAACAACAAGAAGTGACTCTCTCTCTCTCTCTCTCTCTCTCTCTCTCTCTCTCTCTCTCTCTCTCTCTCTCTCTCTCTCTCTCTCTCTCTCTCTCTCTCTCACATTGTTATCTACCCTGAGGCCTCTCTCTTGCTCTCTCTCTCTCTCTCTCTCTCTCTCTCTCTCTCTCTCTCTCTCTCTCTCTCTCTCTCTCTCTCTCTCTCTCTCTC